AGACAGTTTGTAAAATGTAAATACATGGAAGCGTCATTATTGTCAGTTTCATAAATAAGTCACGGCAGTCCTCTCTAGGACCTACTCCGGTTATCAGGCGTATGGCCTTTTTTTGTGACCTGAAAATTTTTGCGGCATGGCAGGAATTACCCCATATTATTGTGCCATAACTAATTCGGGAGTGAAATAAACCAAAATATGTATTTCTCAAAATGTCTGGATTGACAATACATCGTAGCCTTCTTAGAAGAAACAAGATACCTACTGAATAGACCTTTATTTAAATTTTCTGTATGCATGTACCAATTAAGAGAGTCATCAATTGTAATACCAAGAAGTTTATAATGTGCACCTGTTGTATAGTTGTTGTTTTTTGAAATGATTAATTTTTGTTTCTTCTGATCATTCAATGGCATGAAGTTGGCGGAAAACCAATCTTTTACATTGTGAACGGATTCATCTGCCATTTGTAAAAGTGTAGATAGATTTGTAGAGGTGTTGATAAAAGAAGTATCGTCAGCAAAGAGAATAGTAGAAGTATTTATTAGTAGTATGTAGACAGATGTCGTGTTTATATATAATAAACAATAACGGTCCAAGTACCGAGCCTTGGGGAACTCCATATTTGGTGGTTCGAAGATCAGAAAAATTTGTACCTATTTTTACTAGCTGTTGTCTGTTATTTAGATAGGATGATAATAGTTTGAGAGGTACACCTCTGATACCTTGATGCTCTAACTTAAGCAACAGAAGGTCATGTGAGACGCAGTCGAACGCCTTGGTCAAATCGCACATGGTGATAATTGCATGTTGCTTGATCTCAAGACCTTCGACAATATCTCCATTGATCTTCAGTAAAGCCCTTATTGTTGATTTGTTCTTTCGGAAACCATATTGGGTGTTTGATATAAACTTATTTTTTTCGAAATAATCTGTCAGCCTATCTTTCAACAATACCTCGACTATTTTTGAAAAAATATTTATGATTGAAATTGGGCGAAAGTTGCTTAAAATATTGGGATCATCTGTTTTAAATATCGGTAAGACTCTAGATATTTTTAATATGTCAGGAAAAACTCCTGAGGTGAAGCATGAAGTGCGTTTCACCGATAAAGTTGGCGTCTTCAAGAGATGAATGAATCTCGAAGTTCTGTTGATTGAAGAGTTTTTCGACAGTTTCTTATGACAATTTATACATTTCATGTAGGCAATAAACCTTACTTCATTTCACAAGACTTAGGAAAGTAATGGGCTCAACATTAGGTACCTACTAAATAAATAAGTTAGTACGTGTCTAATGAAGAAAGTTGTTTGAATCATCGGCACTTTGAAATCGGTGAGTCACATACCTCGAGTCACATACAGGGCGTTCCAACAAAAACTTGACCCCCCTGTAAGTTAGAAAGGACGTGTAATCAAAAATTTCAAAGAACACGTCAATTTTTATTGATCCTGATATGGATTTGGAGATCATACCCGAAACTTAACCCCCTGAGGTCAGTAACTAACCCCCTATTTTTTTCAACGGTATGGGAAGTCGAGTGATACATCATTTGAAAGGTCTTTTGTTCACCTATAACTTCGGTTATTTTCTTCGAAATTGGTTGATTCGTTATTGAGAAATTAAATGTTGAACATTTTATTTAATAAAAAACAGAAAATTCACTGTCGTTCATTTTAATTAGGAAATCAACAACAAATAATATCAGTGGAAACAGAATCAACAGATAAATTGTTCATAATGACCTCCACCTAGTTACGTAGCAGAGTACATTTTCGACTTCAGGTGTCCCTACAGAAAGAAGTCCATCGGTGATCTAGCTGGCCACTTCACTGGACTCCTTCTGCCGATCCAACGCATTTGTGAAATTATAGGATTCACACAGTCTTGTGATAGATTTATGTATGTGTCTCCATTGAGAAACTTTCAATGAAGAATGGTCCAACAATATGATTACCAAGAATGCCGGCCCAGACATTCAAATTTTGTGGAGTTTGTGAATGTCTTTCCATCACCAAATGAGGATTCACATCGCTCCAGTAACGCCAATTATGTCTATTCTCGTCTCCATTCAACATGAAGAAACTTTCATCTGAAAAACATGTATTGTATAATAGGTTTGGGTTATTGGTCACTTTCTCGCTAATCACCTCACAAAACTGAAGTCGACGATCAGAATCATCTTCGTTTAATTCCTGAACTAGCCCTATTTTGAAATGATGGAATTGGTTGGCTTTCAAAATCCGGAAAAAACTAAGTACCTAATACACCAGACGATCTAACTACTTGTCTGATAGATTGTCGATTATTCATTTGTACATGTCCTAAAACTGCAACTTCAACTCCGTAATTTCTGACAGGACGGGATACATCATGGTTTCTGTTGGGAACAGAACCTGAAGTATAGACCTGTTCAACGTATAGATGGCTCACGTTGTGGTCTGGATGACTCGCTATACAAATTCTTGCAGTAGCTTCAACACATTCATTATTTCGATAATAGGTTGCAACAGTGGCCAACTATCTACTTTTTGTTCTGCGACAACTAGATTCAACAAAAACTACCAGTGCAGAAAAAACTAACAGTGTCGTCCATTTCAAAACGTTTACTACTAATTAAATGAATCCTACAAATCTAGAAGACCTGCGATAGAGAATTGTTCGGGAATGCCGATTTCTGACTCCGGACATTTCCAATACTGTAAGGAACGCTTTCAAGAGTAGACTGTATTATTGTATGGAACTAGATGGAGGTCATTTTGAACACTTTATCCGTTGATTGTGTTGTCATTGATATTACTTTTGTTGATTTCCTCAATAAAATGAGCGACAGCGAATTTTTTGTTTTTTCTTAAATAAAACGTTCAACATTTGATTTCTCAATAACGAATGAACCAATTTCGAAAAAATACATAAATAATAGAGGGACAAAAGACCTTTCAAATGATGTATCACTCAAACCCCCATGCCATTGAAAGAAATAGGGGGATAGTTACTTACCGCAGGGGAGTAAAGTTTCGGGTATGATTTCCATATTAGAATTAGTCCTCCTAGAAATAAAAAATGACGTGTTCTTTGGAATTTTCGATTACACGTCCGTTTCTGACTTACAGGGGAGGTCAAGTTTTCGTTGGAACGCCGATGGAATTGGCCGATACTTAATGAAAATCCATGACTAACGTATTCAAGAAACACTTTATTTTGAAATTTTCACTGAAGACAATGAATATTTTCCCATAGTCAACCAGGAATTTTCCTTCGTGAAATGAAGATTTGGCATGGATAATGAAATAAACTAGAAAAGCCTTTGAAAATGCGAGAAAATCAGGTATATGGGATTAATACAGAAGGTCTCCAAGTGGCATGAAGGTTTGCTGGCCAAACTTTGATGCTATGGCTTGTCGGATCATTTCTGTGTATGTCTCTTCAGCTTCCTTAAAGAACGTTCTCTGCAAATGGCCGTCGATGGGTATCTCTCGAATACTTTCACCATCAACACTGGTGTTCCCCAGGGATTCATATTGTCTCTAGCCCTCTTTTTATTGTTGGGATTGAAATGGACACCAATATGTCTTGGCACAATCATGTCGCTCTTCGTTTTGATGTTCAAAACACCTCTAACCTCACTGTTTAAGAACTTCATCTGGAGAACTGCGTTTATGAGAAATAAACTTCCTGGGAACGTTTTCCCGAAGAGATTTAATCTCCAGCGATTCCAATCGCTGCGATTTGAATCGCTACTTTCGCACAAGCACCGCTCTGAGAACGCCTCAAGAATATTCCTGTAGTGCTTATGTTTTGTACTTAAAAAAAAGTTAATACAACAAGGCTCTGAGAAAATACAAGGGGAATACATAGGGAAGACTGCGAGGAGTTTGAATAGTCCCAGTATGCGCCAATCTCTATAAGATTCTCCCGAAAGGATCTCAGGATCTCAAAATTAAATACCGAAGAGTACACAAAAACAGGAAACGAGAATTCAAAAGAGTTTTTCGGGTGTACTTTCTCGCGTCAGAAATTATAAAAACACCGGAGTCCAGCACAAACTCAGATCTAGGGCCCCTTAACCGGGCGTTCTGGGATGATTGGCTGTTCTGAATTTGAGTAACATATTTGGAGAAAATTGAATGGGCCGTAAATTAATTCCAATCAGATAGGACGCAGGAAGTGAATGATATTCATCCAGTATGTTACAAATAGGACTGTAACGTCAATAAAAAAATTATAGTCCTCATTCCGAAACCAGGTGTTATGTACCCAAAGGTTGTAAGCATGAGCCATCGGGCGTCACTTCAGCATCTTTCCGATATGCATGTTGTACAGTGTATGGAGGACTATCGTTGCATTTAGATCAGATTAGATTGTTGGGGAGCTAGCCCATGGCCTGATTCACTGCGACCTTTTCAGATCTATTGTGATGCTTCTTGGTTGATAAAGCTCATTGTCTAGCTTGATATCTTTGTTGAGACTCCATAGCCTTGACACTGACCCCTTCATATAGCTGGCAGCCTCTGGTTTCTCTTCCCCGCATCTTGCGTGTCTCAGCCTTGCTATCGCTTCGCATTTACAGATCACATGCAGTGCGGTTTCTTCCTCTTCTCCACAGAACCTGCATTGGGTTTCTTCTGTCAGACTCATGTTGCTCGTACGTTTCTTGAGTCAGCTATGCCCCGTTAGTAGACCTACCACTACCATTACAACCTTACGATTGTTGTTCAGCAGGTGAATCTGGGCGATGGTTTCTATCGTTGTAGTTAGTACGAGTTGTTAGTCATGTGTATAATTGTTGACTTTGAAATGAAACGCCACCAGGAAAAAATGGACAGTACTCGGAGAAAACTAAAATCAGTCTCAAGTTTTCGCACTAAAGACTTGACAGGCTCAATTTTTTTCATGTTTCAATCTTTAATTAATTTACTTTTCCTTTCATTACATCTACTGTACTCATACAGCCCAATAACTTGAATATTCACTATTACCAACATCAAATTCTTTCAGTGGATCTCCGAAACACGTTAGACTTGGTGACTTGGACCTCTCGACTGACACTGATGAGGCAGATCCCCAACAATTCACAATAAAAAGAAGCATTCCTCATCCAAGGTATGAACCTCCGTCGAAATACCACGACATTGGTCTAGTTGAACTGGATAGGCCAATAAACAAAACGGAATACGTATCCATGGCGTGTCTGCTCACTGAGAGACAACACGAGGAAAACGTCATGTTAGCTACCGGATGGGGAAAAGTGGAATTCCAAGGAGATTCAAGTAATATTCTCTTGAAAGCTAATTTGACAATTGCCCCACATGATAAGTGTCAAGCTGCCTATAAGTCTTCCAATAAACTTCTTTTGGCTAGAGGGATTGTGGATGATATGATGATTTGCGCTGGGGATAATCAAACTGACACTTGCCAGGTAATATGCATTTGTATTTGGCACAATTTCATTATTTCCAACGTTAAAACCAAAATATAGCGTGATACTGGATTTATTCAAAACAAAAATGAAGTTACTGTGAACATGCCCACCATAACAAAAATGCTGTAAAAGTTAGTTTCTTTGTTCAGATATCGCTGCAAAATATATCAATTTCAAAAGAAAAATTTTAATTTTGTCACGAACGAATTTTATTTTATGGAGCTTGATTTGAAAACAAGCAAGTTTCAAAATTATTTCAATCAGTTTTCGATCATTTATAGCCAATTCTTTTTTTGGAATTGACTCAAACTGAAAACTGTTTCTCCAGTAAATCATCACCAATATCACTTTCTTCAAAAAATTAATCTTTAGAATTTGGATTATAAAATCACCTATGAACAATAATTCAGAAGAACTGTCAGAAAATTTCTATTTTTATTTCATACAAAGGCTTCAAGTAATTTCAGAATCAAATGAGTTACTCTATAATAATAACAAAATGTTGATAACCCAAAATTGACTGAGATAAGGTAAACTTGCATTTCTTTAATGTCCCCCTCTTCTATTTTTTGAACGTGTCAATCAAAAAATTGAAATTTGAGATAATGAAATTAATGCTTGAATACTTTACTTTAAAGTGAAATTGACAGATATCGCCCAGTCGCCATCGGGGAAAAAATTAAATGGAAAGGTGGTTCTTGTGACATATATTTTTGAAGCTCCTGACAAATGCTTCACAACCCTAGAATATAATGTCAATATCTTCAATTACTACAAAATGGCGGAACTTTAAATAATTGCCTGAAAACATTGACATTTAACTACATATTATGAGGTAATAAGCTTGAGGTCAGTTCAGAAGATGCTCGAAATGGTTGCCTTGAACTTATTGATATCTGATATTTCACGCCGAACATCTTCGAACACAGTAACGTCAATATCTCTACAAATAATCATTATTCTCTACTGTATATCCAATATTGAAGCAGGTTCAGTTTGTGGGGATTCAAATAGTCACATAAAAAAATCCAAAGGTGTCAATTCTGGCGAGCGAACTGGCGATTCTGTACGACCTAGACGGCCAATCCAACGACCGGAAAAAGTAGTATCCAAATAGTTTTTTACTTATCTGGAGTAATGTGGTGGTGCTCCATCTTGTTGGAATACAATATCTATATCGAGTTCATTAGGATTCGCTTCGACGATTTCAGTGATGAGAGGGTCAACAGTAGAATAGAAGTCCTACAATATGGTTTCTCAATATTTCTGTCCAAACGTTAATTTTTTCTGGATATTGGGTATGTATTTCCCGGAAAACGTGAGGGTTGGTGTCATTCGTCACTGAAACAAATATTGTGGAGATAGGTAGGATGCCTTGCAATGGTATCTGTCATGATTCCACAGAATTCTGTTTTCCGATCAGGGTCATATTCAGTTAATTGGTGTACCATTTTAATTTTGTATGGATGATATCTAATCCTCTTCAAAAGTCTCCACACACTAGAAGGGGACACCTCACAAACATTCGCGACAGAATAAGTAAACTGTTCATGATTTACTACCGTTTCACCAATTATTTGCACTTGTTTTTCTTCCGGAATGGATGGACGTTGTGAATTTGGATACTAATAGAACGATTCGGAAAACGTTTATTGAGTTCCAAAGGTGTCAATTCTGGCGAGCGGACTGGCGATTCTGTACGACCTCGACGGCCAATCCAACGACCGGAAAAATTAGTATCCAAATAGTTTCTTACTTGTCTGGAGTAATGTGGTGGTGCTCTATCTTGTTGGAATACAATATCCATATTGAATTAATTAGGATTCGCTTCGACGATTTCAGTGATGAGAGGGTCAACAGTAGTTTCCGGTATATTCAAATACAGTTTTCCTGTTAAATTTTGAGCAATAAATAGAAGTCCTACAATATGGTTTCTCAATATTTCTCTCCAAACGTTAATTTTTTCTGGATATTGGGTATGTATTTCCCGGAAAACGTGAGGGTTGGTGTCATTCGTCACTGAACCAAATATTGTGGAGATAGGTAGGATGCCTTGCAATGGTATCCGTCATGATTTCACAGAATTCTGTTTTCCGATCAGGGTCATATTCAGACAATTGGTGTACCATTTTAATTTTGTATGGATGATATTTAATCCTCTTCAAAAGTCTCCACACACTAGAAGGGGACACCTCACAAACATTCGCGACAGAATAAGTAGACTGTTCAGGATTTACTACCATTTCACCAATTATTTGCACTTGCTTTTCTTCCGGAATGGATGGACGTTGTGAATTTGGATACTAATAGGACGATTCGGAAAACGTTTATTGAGAATCCTTTCGGTCTCGTGAAAGTTATGCATCGCACCGTAAATAAAAATCGCTTCAATTTTTTCTTCCAATGGACGAGAATTGACCATTTTAGAGATTGTTGACGTGGTACCTTTCTCCTAGTGAAACCGAAAACTAATTGAGAACATTCCAATGATGTTCATTGTCGTACTGACATTTCTTATCGTTTTTATAATAAAAAAATAATTTAACAAACCTTATCGGGTCGTTGTAATTGCCATATGGCAGATAAAAAGGAATATTTCTAGAAATATCAATATTAATGTGTTTGCCTTCAGAAAATTATTAAATGTTTCGCCATTTTATAGTAGGTGAAGATATTGACTTCAAATTCTAGGGTTGTGAGGTATTCGACAGGAGATTCAAAATGATGTCACAAGACACCCCTTTCCATTTCATTTTTTTTTCCCAGATGGTATCCAGTCGCCATTTCGAAAGCTTCATCTGTCAATTTCCCTTCAAAATAAGGTATTCATGCATTAATTACATTAACCCAAATTTCAATTTTTTTTGAGTTGACCTGTTCAAAAACTAAAAGAGGGTGTGACATTAAAGAAATGCACTGGAAAGACAAGAAATGAAAGTAGCATAAAAGATATGGAAGTAACCTCGATGGGAGTTTCAAGTCAAAAGATAACTGATGAAAATAATGAATCTAGTGTCCCGGAGGAGAATAACGATACTCCCTCCTCGTGATCGAAAGCTTTCTGAGGACATTCTACGAAGACATGAAGGAATAATTCCGATAATGATAATAACGATTTATTTCTCCAAGAAACGCTCATGTTTGTAGTAGGGACAGAAAACAATAATTCGGAACTATAACCTAACAAAATACGAAATGAATGCCATAAAAGATGAATTGGAACTGATAGATGATTGAATATACTTACTGGATCAACTGTTAAATTATTGAAATAGAGTGACTAGAGTCACAGGATAAAGAAAAGTTAAAAGGTTGGTTACCTTATCATTGAGGTTTCCTGATTTGGACAAAAATAACTCAAGATTAGTAGGTACTCCAGACAGTGGTCTGGCTGCACCACCAAAACTGCAGAATACTTGTTTCGCGAAAGACAAGGTCTCTTTTATATGTATGATGGAATTGGCCGATGCTTGATGAAAATCCATAACTAACGTATTCAAAAAATACTTTATTGTGTGATAGTCACTTAATGATTTCACAATAACGCAACAGGTCTTTCGCCATACAATGGCTTCTTCGGGCGTGTCTTTACTAATTCTACATATTCAATGCCTAATATACCTTATTTTACAATTTGAAGTACCTACATTTCAAGTACCTGAGTCTTCGAATGCCAGGTACAACCCCCCAAGTTTTCAATTGGGAAGTATAGGTTTGTGATATATCGTTTCAAAGGTATCTTCATTCTCTATTGAAAAATGTTATCGCTCTCAAGTTTATTGAAACAATTAAGATAATATAAATTAAAATCATGTGTTTACCGAAATTCAATAAAATACAGTCAAAAACTCAAATGTAATGCAAAACGTAATGAAATGTAGAATACGAAAGAGAACTATGGATGTTAACGAGGCAGATGTTCAAAATGTTCACCGCGAACATCTTGGCAACATTCTAATCTCAAATAAAACTGTCTTCTAACAGTATTTAACATATCAGGCGTGACCGACCTATTGGCAAGCGTTATTCGTTTTTTTAAGTCATTCAAATCTGAAGGTTTGGTTTTGTACACATTGCTATTTACATATCTCCATAAAAATAAATCTAATGATGAAAGATAAGGTGATTGCGCTGGCCATTGAATCGATCCTCGCCTGCCTATCCACCGATTGGGAAATGTTGTATCGAGGTATTGCCTGACATAAACTTGGTAATGTGGTGGTGCTCCACTCTGCTGAAACCATATCGTATTCACTGGAACATGAGGGTTTCCTGGATCAGGATATAAATTTGCTAAACTTGGAGTGACTTCATTTTGAAGTAGTGGCAAATAATTATCGTTATTCAAGTTGCCCTCAATGAAAAAGGACCAATGATGTGGTTTTCTACAATCCCTGCCCAAACATTAACCTTTTGAGGGTATTGCGTGTGTTCTTCTCTCATCCAGGATGAATTTTCCGTTGACCGGTATCGGCAGTTTTGCCGATAAGCATGACCGTTAAGAGACAAAATACACTCATCAGAAAACATAACGTCTTCTAATTAGATGATATTGTTATCTGACATGTCCATCATTTGCTGACAAAAATAAGTTCTTCAATCAAAATCGTCTTCCATGAGCTCCTGATTACTGAGTAGTTATCATTTTATAGGGATGCATCTTATTTTCTTTTAATATGTTTACTATCTATGTATGGCTAACATTGAATGTAGTAGATGCCTGTCTACTCGATATATGTGGGTTTTCCTCAAACTCAAGCATCACATCTAATTTTGGTTCATCACTCATTGCATTGGCAGCTGCTTTTTTCATCTGCCCCACATGACCAAGCTCGCGGAACTGCTCCTCTATTTTGCTTATTGTTCCTTGATATATGGGCGGTGAATTAGGAAATTACTCATGAAATAGGCAAGCTACTTCCTATTGTGTTCAGGTTTTATCTCCGTAACCAATCATTTGTAAAATTATTATTTTATGCATTTCCGTTAATCTAAGCATTTGTCAGACTTGAAGTTAACGAACTTCAAACTTGAATTAAAATAATGACAACTATTGTTGTCACATACAAAACAAGTGTTGACATGGCGTTTTAAACTAACGTTGCTACGGAAATTATTTACAGTTTTTCAAAGGATACCATCTAAAAAAAACATTGCTATGGTTTTGGCTCACTTTCTTATTATCAATACTTCAACATAAAATAAGTTTTGAGTATATTGCAATAAGTTTTGAGTGTATTTCATCGAATTTCGGTAACCACATGATTTCAATTCATTTTATTGTTACAATAAACTTTTAAGCGGTAACATTTTTGAACAGAGAATGAAGAAATCTTTTGAAAGACATATCACAAGCTTTTACTTCCCGTTTAAAATATTGGGGGTTGTACCTGTCATTCGACGGGGTTTGAAGGTAGGGGTAGCATTTTTCCGTTGAAGTATGTCAAATTATAATTTAATCGTAACCGAAATAATGAATTTATTCCATTTGGCTTTTACACACTGTATAACAGTAGTTACAGAACTTAATTAGTAAATAATGAGAGTTCTGGTCGAATATGAGATTTCAAGAAAAAATGAGTACCATACAATACTTATTCTAGGTAAACAGGTAAAAAGTGGTTATTAGAGAATAATTCTCGGAATTTTAATGAAACCAAGTTTCCTGTTTTCGTGAGAATTTTTTCTAGGTGTATTTTGGCAAGAAAGAAACGGTTGCCTTACTAGGCACACGTCTAAATCAAATCCAGGAGAATCAATCACCTCCTTGAATTAAGACGACCGTTTTTGATTTGTCGATAGTTCAATAAAGATTTGACATATTAATGGCCAAAATGTTTTTAATATAATTTCAGGACACTGCCAGAATTGATCTGTTTCTAGTATGTGAGGACTATGTATTTCAAAATTCACACCAAGTTTTTATTTATTTTTTTAATATTAGTATCTTTATATTTTAGGGAGATTCCGGAGGACCTTTGCAGCTCCCGAATCGAGTTGTTCGTACTAAAATAAAAGTTTATAACATAATCGGTGTTACATCGTTCGGGAAAGTATGTGGAATCTCGAACTCACCAGGAGTATACACCAGAGTATTTCACTATCTGGATTGGATTGAAAAGACTGCTTGGCCCAACGAATAAATAGTTTCAACTTGAGAATGCCACAAATTCAACTTTTAATAATATTACACATTTTTTCGAATGAGTTATTTCACTTCGAGATTTTCCTGCATGAATGAAATAAGCTACACTTGGATCGGAAACAATATATAGACTCAACTGAGGGGTAATTTGTTCTATCGGTAGTTCTAATAACAAAAAAACAAGCCCAAAGTGAGTTTTTCATCATAGTTTTTTCTGATTGACTCGGCCGTTACTTGATGAAGGTCCATAGTAATTTCACAAACTACACCATAAATGATTTGATCTCCACAAACTTCATTTCTAAAAACATCACACCTACAGCTCCAACTGATCACTAATTCCTGTCTAGGTGTGGCGTAATTCCGTGAGTAATATTAGGGTGAATATTATCTTGCAATAAAATCAACTCGAATTTTGTGAACTTGTGTAATATTTATTGAAAATTGTTTCAATGAAAATGATCTAGAAATAGAGGTGCTGTTTCCATTTGCCAAAGATCATCAGTACTTCGCTGGTTCGTGAACTGACCTGTTTTCAATAAGAACAATCAATCTTATGTGGAAAGTTAAAAAGACGATTTCTCTCAGAAGGATGTCAATCTTCGAAATAAAATTCAAACCTCTTTCAACGACTAACAAAGGTCAGAAGGGCTTTATGATTTTGGTATTATCCAGTTGCCTGTGAAGTGAGAGTTGCAGAAATAATACGCTTTTACTCCTGTGTATTCTATGTGTATTCTGAAGTTATAAACGATAAAATTAAATGTATTTCATTGGTTCAGACTTCCATTGTGTGATTGGATATAAATTGATTTGAAATCCCTGAAAGAATCTATAAAAAATTGAAAATTAGCTGAAAAAATAACAATTATATTAAGCAAAAACTGAAATTACAATGGAAGAAAATTCAAGCAACAATCAAAAAATTATTATCAACAAGAAATGGAAATTAAAAGATTTCAAGCCAAATTAAATCAGAAAGTTTCGATTGTTGGTATTCACAACACTTATTTATAGGTCATTCGAGTACGTTCACATATCCCCTCTTTCCTATCTCCGCTACATTGGTTTTAGCGGGAGCTGACTGTTTGGCGGGATTGATCGTGTTCCGCTTGATTATAAGTTTCCATGTGTTGCGTATCTCTACGCAATCTTGGCTAAATGCGTTGTTGGGTAACATATACGTGGCTTCTTTGAATTTTCTCCTAAACCACTATTCCTCCTTGTGGATGATTTCAGCTTCAAATTTCAGTCCAAACATGCTGTGCTATTCCTGATTTGCTGGTTTCTCCTCGCTGTGTGTGTTTCTTGTGCTCGGCAATGCGAACATTCAATGGCCTCTTAGTTTCATCGATGTATGATTCTGCGCCCTCGCAGGGTATCCGGTAAATGCAATTCTTTGAATCGCTCGTGTGCGTTTGATGGCCTGTTTTTCGTGAGGCTGCTACGGATAGTGTTCCCAGATCTGAAGCAGGTTCTTATGTTATACTTGGATCCAATTCTTCTTATACTTTCCGGCAATCCTCTGATGTAGGGAAATACAAGTACCTACTGGTTGCGACGGCTTCTCTTCCTTGTGATGCTTTTGCTGTCTTCTAGTTAAAACCTGTTCCACCATCACTTTGGAGTAACCATTCCATTGAAGGTCATTATTGATGATGCCTAGTTCCTTTTTGAGACCTTCCTTTGTATTACAGCGCCCGAAAGCACAGTCTGCTAGAGTCTTGATGATTCCTCTCGTAGTTGGTTGATGGTGGTTGGATTCTTGGTTCAAATACTGTCATGTGTGAGTGGGTTTTCAATATATAGATGTTTCCCATTTAGTGTCGGTCCTCTTCAACAATACGTCTAAGAATGGCAATTCGTTGTGGACTTCCTTCTCCATAAAATCTTGAATGGCGCAATAATTTCTGAAATGTTAACAAAAATTGAGCATTTTCTTGTTTATCTGAATTGTTTATAATTTTTGAGCTATTCGTTCGCGCAACTTGTAAATTACTAATATATTACTAATCGAATACCACCTCGATCAAAACCTCAAGAAAAACAATTTTGCAATTTGAGATTTTGATCAATCTCATAGATAATGTCTTCAAAACAAATCGTTTCACGCCTACTTCTTTATTCAAATTTACCCGTTTAAAATATTGGGGGTTGTACCTGTCATTCGANCGAGAAAATTATTGAAGTTCTGGTGACTGAGAAAAGTGTTCGTTTTTCAGATAACTATGATCAATTATTGACCTAATAGGGCGTGTAATTTTTCTCGAGGGCATTATCCTTTAACCAAATGTTGAGGTGGTGTTTTTTATTCTGTTAATTATTTAGAGTATTGTGTTTTCATCTCCAAACCAGTGTGAATAATTCGAGAGATATGAAGGCCACTTTTTCCAGATGCCTTTTTTGATGTTTCATGAACACGAATTTCTATGGTTTTCATTTCCTCATCACGATAGGAGTACTACTAATTAGTTTCAAGGACTTTAACATTAATCCATCGAATCCCACAATTCATCTTTTTCAACTTCTTTGACTGCTACTGCTTTCAAAATATATACAAATAAAGTGGCAAGTCGATCACTTGAAAAATGTTTCTTGTGATTTCCACTCTGGTAAGTCGAATAATATTTTGCAAGGTGACTTGCGAAGATGGTTGGTGTTTTTTTTTCTTCTATAGAATCAGTGATGCTCAAACAAAACAGTATTACTGATTCAATGAATATTTTATATGACCAGCTATGTCATTTTTGATTTGGATACAATTATACTGAGTCAGTTTTATATTGTAATGAATCTGAAGCCGCCCCTGACTGGTAGATCAGCCGACTCATGGAACAAACACATGACCTCACCTCAAAAAAATGCAGTCGGGAATCCCCGGTAAAATTCCAGCACCGAACTTACTACAGAACTCTCGAAAGGACCTTTACCGATATAAGCCCGTCTACCCGACCCAAGAGGGCAGTTCAGAAAGTGAATCGAGCGGCTAAACAAGAAATTCAAATAGTAGAAATAAATTAAGTGTCAGTTGCTAAGTGTTGTGCTAAATAAATTAGTTTGTGATTAGTGAAATATTGTTGGAAATGAATTTGTTTAAGACAATTTATTGATTTGTTACAATATATAAGTTAATAAATCGTCATGTCACTTAACACAGTAAGAAAAACAATTTCAAAATACAGTTTAATTAGAGAGTAGAAGAGTTATCTATAAATCTCATATCATTTCGGAAAATTATTCAATCATTAATAACAATTTTTTGAGAAATGATGATAATTATATCAGTGAACTGCTCGGATAGTCGATGATGACTTGCTTATTCTTCTCTTTTTCTGCAGCATACTTCGAAGGGATCAGTACAGTATCCCATGTTTCCCACATCCCTGAAAGATTGAAAGATTATTATTCGAACAATTCTAATTCCTTGGGAATGTATTAGGAATTAAAGAGGCTGCTGAATCAGAATTTAACAAAATTGCGTCATATTACTACAAGTATAATCTTGAGACACAACAAATTTACTTCTGTTTTTTTATTTGAATTAAAACCAACTAGATTACAAGTTGGGAAAATACTAAACTTTTATGCCTAGTGCCTGATATACTATTCAAAGAAACAGAACGAATATTTCAAAATTTATCTAAAATACTCATATCTGCTGTTTTTTGAGAGCTCATAAACATTCGAATTGGTAACAAAAACCGAAAAAAAAACATCAATTTGCTATTTTAATTTTTTTTTTTGAGAAATCCACGTTTTTTATTATGCTCGTTTTCCGGATTTGTTTTGTTTTTCTTCAGCGACGTGAAATCTGAAGAAACAATCATGGGATAAAGAAAAAGTGACAATGTTACTATGCAATTTGGTTTTGTATATTTTTTCGTATAAATAAAGGTAGAAAAACAATTCGAGTGACTAATTTTTTGGGAAAGAAAGTTTTTGGCTTTCTACTAGTCCATCGTGATACAAATAAATGTAGGAATCTTCCAAAGAACGGAAGGAAGCAATCAATTATAAAAGAAGTTACTTTATACATGTGTAGATCACGCAAAGGAGTAACTTTCAGACACAAACTGGAAGAAAGAGTCCTCCTGAAACTTTCATATAAACATTGAATTACACGAAAGAAAAATTCTTTCGAAACAAATACTTTCATACGAACACTGAATTATACAGAAACATTCGTTATGAAATTAAATCAGATATCATTCACAGGATTTCTAGACAATAAACTAAATGAAAGGTAAAAATTTCAATTACATGGAATATTGTCATCCTCACTGGATTCATTGTGTGTTTTTCCATATAATGTTATCCAGATTGGCACTGAAAAGCTCAATGGCAAATGTCTTACGGCTCGGTGTCTACACCTGAGGATGAAAGTGAAATTTTTACCTTTCATTTAGTATATTGTCTAGAGATCCTGTGAATGATATCTGATTTAATTCCATAACGAATGCTTGAAATACAAACTTAGTTCAGAAAAGTGTTTTCTGTATAATTCAGTGATCATTTAAAAGTATTTGCTTCGAACAAAATGTTCTTTCGTGTAATTCGAGGTTTATATGAAAGTAGCTATTTCAGGAGGGTTTTAGTGTGTGTCTGAAAGTCTCTTCTTTGCATGATCTACACATCTATGTATAAAGTTACTTTTTTAAAAATTGATTGCTTTATTCCTTTCTTTGGAAGATTCCCACATTTTTTTGTATCAAGATGAAGCAGTAGAAAGCCAACAACTTTCTTTCACAAAAAATTACCCACTTTCTTGAAACTTCGGAGTTCTTTTTGATAAATTTCAAGAAAATTAAGGTTAAAGAACGCAATATTTACCAGCGATATACAAATTATTGCAGAATAACAGAACATTTTTAGAAAAGGTTTAAAAATTATTGAAGTCTTAATTGACACAGCTACCCAGTAACATTTTTGGAAACCTGACTGTATACCTTTCAACTCCATCTTGGAAGACCAATTTACTCAGAGAATCTCAAGAATACAAGAAAGAACGGGGAGCAGTGTTACTATCCTCAAAAGTCATACAGTTCAAATGCTCATCAACTATTTCAACAGATCTCTCATTTTATCTGTTCATGTTCCTCAACAGATTATATGTATCTTCCTAACATATAAGAATATCAAACGACAACTTCAATTTTGTACTATCCTGTTATCAACTGATGCAGTTCCATTAATGATAGAACCGTTTTCTCAAAGATATTATTTGACACACTGGTATTGACAAATTTCTATTGGAACTGGATTGATATCTAATAGGAGTCTGGCTTCTGCAATGGGCTTGTTTCATGTTATGGAAAATGATACTAGTTTGCATATAGACTGATCGAGTTAGGGGTTATACTTATCAAGCCTAATCGGTCCCAAAATCTCTTTATATTTGCAGAAAAAACAATAATTCGGAAAGCAAGAATTTAAATTGGCCGCGTGTCTGTTGACCAATAAAATTGATCGTGTCTAGAGCGGAGTTGCCAAGTGTATTGGTTTTCAATATCCAATCACAGATCTGAAGATCCAATTTGACAGACGCCATTTTTGTTGTTATTATTGTCAACTCGGTGTGAATACAACTGTTACAATTATCTAATTAAA